CAGGAACTCAGTCCACCCACTGGGAGGGAGTGGCTGGTGCTGGGACTGAGGGCTCAGCAATTATTCTACGTGACTGTTGGCTGCTCCATGTGGGTGGTCTGGAAGGAGAATGCCTATTGAGATGAAGGGTATTTCTGCAGGTGCTATACGTGGACCGTCCCCAACTTACTGCGATAGATTTCTTGGCTAATGGGGACCAGAACGGGGAGACAGCAGGTTATATAGGTTTTATTACTAACTGACAGGAGTCAAGTTAAAGGACTTAATTCACTGGTTGGAAATTAACTTCAGCTTATTCATTAGAGATAGGTGAATGTTTTACCCACAATACATGCTAGGAAAAACGGTTGAGAAAACGTGGTGTGTGTAGGGGGCTGACTCCTTCAAAAGGGGCAGCTGTCTACCGTCTGGGGTCTGAGAATGGCTGGCGAGCTGGGCTCTGCAGCCTGCTTCCAAGGGCCACTTTGGGGGGATGCCTGGGCTACAGCGTCCGAGGCAGTTGTAGCAGTGACACAGGCAAGAGGAAGCAGCTGTAGCTTTGGATAGCATCCCAGTTCTCACTGCGAGTACGGGCCCGTTCCCCTTCAAATAGAATTTGGCAAAAGCAATCCTAGTTTATGAAGAGGGGGCACTTCCCTCTGCTTGGATAACAGGGGGAGAAGAAAACCTTTCCCCCAATTGCTTGGCCTCTAAATGCCAAAGGCAGGCCACTTTTCATGGTTTTTTGAAGCATCCAAGGTGGCTTTGAACAACAGAGTGAGGCCAAGAAGGAAGAAAGGCGTCAGAGATGAGGTGTTTGGCCAGTTCTGGATTGCTCTTATTGTCAAGGGGTTGGGGGCACCTAATGTAATAAGGAGCGTACAGGCCACAAGGAGACATTTTCTGGTTTTGCTGTAGCTTTGCTTCAGACTTCTACAGCAGAATAATTTGAATTCCAAAGCCACAATAGTGTTGTACCACCAGGGGATATTCTAGAGGCAAGTTAAGGCTTTCTGGGCAAAGAGAACAATTCCAGATGATATTGTGAGCGGATGCTGCAGTGAAATGCTTCTTAATAACTCTCCTGTCCTGCCTTAGACAAGGCAGGTTGAGTTTTCAACTCAACGTGATGTTTCAGTGATCTTCACTTTAGCGCTAAGTCAGAAGCAATGCCACGGGAAAAGAAAAGCCTCTCACAGCTCAGACATCTGCTTGCCTGGCGAACACAGACAAGAACACACGTATTGTTTCCCCGGAGCTGGCAAAACGGATCTCAAGCCACACAGTGACAAAGAGAGCTCTCATTCAGATGCCAGGCATATAAGCTCAGCTACCCAGAAAGTTCAGCTTTAATGAAGACTGTAGTTTTAGAATGAAAGTCTGAGCAGGAAGGGTTTTTGCCCTGGGAACTCTCAAAGCTTGCCCGAGTCACACAGAAGGATGGGGATATTCACCTCGTTCCAACGGTCAGCACCTGTCCCAGTCATAAGACCACCCTCAGTACAGAAAGAATATTGAGATGACAATGGAGGCTCTGAAGAGAAGCCAGTCAGAGACACAGGGCTTTGGGCAAAATCAAGGGTCTTCACCAGCAAAGGCTGAATGCAGTAGCTCCCTCTCTCCAAGTCCCCTCAAGATAAGCCCGAAGTCTTGACTTATCTGTTTCCATTTGCAAGGGCTGTAAGAAGGCCAGCGGGAATGTTCTGGCAAATGGTGTGTAAGTAGATTAAGTAGACTTAGAGATGGTCTAAGATGAGGTAATTGGAGCTCGGAGAGGTGAAGTGATTGCCCACAATCCAATGTGAATTAGAGATAGGACAAGAATCCAAGTCTCCCAAACCCTGGTTCCCTAACACCATGTCAAGAAAGGGACGCTCCCCTTGCAGGTATATTCCCACTCTCATGTGTAAAACACTGCGGGGAGGTTCAAAGAATGTAGTGACAACAAACAACTTTCTGCCTTCCTTCTGCTCTGGAATCACTGGTGCAAACTCACGGGCGGGAAGGTAAGAGGTTTTCCTCAAATCTATTAAACTCCCTACTAACATAAATGCATCAATGAGACTTGAGACCATTTTTTCAAGTCAGATAATCCTGACTTGACTGGGATCTTCATCACTGTCTTTAAACTGTTTAGAGGCAGGGAGAACTACCCAGAGAATTGTTAAAAACCTGCTTGGTTTTTAACATGTTCTTCCTGCGATAGAACTGTCTAGGTCTCTGCAATTTATATCCTTAACCTTATTTTATTGTATTTTTAACCTGATTTTAAAATATAATATTCAAATACTCTTTGAAAATTCTGCCTTGTTTTAGCCCAAGAGGACCTCAGTAGCAAGAAGAGCCCTCACATTATCATCAGGAACGAACGAAAAGCAAGGAAAGCTGGAGGAAGGAAAAAGCTGACCTACATATAAAATGCTGCTCCCTTGTTTATTAGGCGAGCTCACATCTCTGTAAATTCAATGCCTCTGTGCTCTCATTCAGGGACAAACAAGAATTTTCCTGTAAGATAGACACAGTTACACACTTATTTCCATGCCTGAGAGCCTGAAGCTTGAACAGAGAGGCCTTCAGTTGATTTCATGTGAGCCAAAATGGAATGTAAGTGCCATTCAGAGTCACACACTAAAAAGATTTCAGCTGGGAGGCGGTCTCCCCAGTCCCGTGGGGTAAATTCCGGTTATGTGGCAACAAAGGCTGTGCCCCGAGCCCTGCCTCTCCTCCGTGGGCCACCAGAACTGCCGTGCACACCAGGCTCCGAGGACTTCTGCCCCCATCCCCACCAAGTGTGTGACAACAGGACTGTTTTCTCCTCCTGAATGGAGCTGGTACCTGGCCACTGCTTTGTCGGAATAGATCAAGGGATGTGACCTAAGGCAAATGAAAAGGAGCCTCTTGCTTCCTGGGATGGTGATTCAACCCCATTAAGTTATTGCTTCGTTCATCTAATTTCACAAAAAAAGGTCTTGAGACATGAAGGTTGTAGCGGGATATATGACCATGAACCTTCTAGATTATAGCTGTGGTTGTTGGTTGGAGGGAAAAGTAACAGAGGGGAGAGATTAGCTTCAAAATTGAGGGGTAGATGATAAAGTGCCAATTTGTATTAAAAGAACATGAAAAAGAAAAGCACTTGAAAAGTAACAACTTGGAGGGAAAGTCACAATGATGAATTTGGTGTGTGTGAGAAATTGTACCGAAGAAAAGTCGAGAGCATAGAAGTCTCAGTCTCTTCAGATACGGCTGTTTTTGATGTTATTATTTAGGATGATCTGGTGATTGTCAGAAAACAACTTCTTCAGGTTACAGACATTACTGTCACATGACTTGGACCAATGCCCAAACTACATTCACCTGCGGCCATAAGGGTCTGCATCCAGGCCCTCAGGTGGCTCCCTTTACCCCTTAAACATCCACATACAGACCCACTATTTACATTCCTATCTGTCCTATAGCAATGGAGAGGAAGCCGGGAAATTTTTTTTTTTTTTAAAGTATCTAGGTCATTTCACTTGTAATTCTGTTTAGTTCCAGATAGCAACTGCTAATTTTTCAAAGTGCAGGGCTTTTAGATATTCAAGTACCACAGGATTGGAGGAAAGGAGTACTTGAAATGTAGAGTGACTTTTCATTTGAGAAGATAACACTCTGGAAAGATCTATCCAACACACTACAAATATGAGCTATTACATTACAAAATCCGGTTTCAAAATCACACCCTCTTCAGTTGGAAAGATATTTCTCCAAACTCAGATCCAACTTTTGAATTGTTTGGTATCAAAAGCCAGAGTTAGAGAGAACTGGGTTAAAAAAATAAAATTATAACTGAGTGCTTTAAAAAAAAAACACCAAAAAAACCCCTCTTTATATGAAATGAGGGACAGAAAAAAAAAAAGGCAAATGACATCTATATGCTTAGAACAGCTCTCAGGCTCCCCTGGAGAGGTGTTCTCTCAAACCTCAGTAAACTGAGTTTGTCATTGAACTTTAGAACCGGTAGCGATATCGGCAATCTACCTGGCCCAAGTCCCCCATTTTACAGGTGAAGAAACAAAAGTTCAAAGGGACTTTTCCAGGGTCATATAGCCAGTGAGAGGCAGAGTCAGGCATGGCCTGAAGTCTTCACTCCCAGCCCAAGCCCTTTCTGAGACATCACATAGCGATCGCATCAGGGCAGCCGTACACGACAGGCCTTGCAGCTTTGGAAGCTCCTGGGATCGAAGAGATACCTCCAACTACGAATTTCAACAACACAAACTACCGAGATGTTTCTAATTTAAAGGCTCTGCACAACCGCGCTTCTCAAATTTGCCTGGTGAGGAGAATCACCTGGGGCACTTGTCAAAAATTAGAATCCCCAGGCCCCTTCCCAGACCCACTGAAACAGCTTCTCCAAGGGGAGGGACCTGGGGGGCTGAATTCGTAACAAGCGTCCCAGGTAACTCTCATCATCAGCAACCTGTGGGAAAACTGTCTTAGAGGACAGTGAGGGAGAAACTTGGTTTGTGACTCAAGGGAATTTTCTTTGCCACATAGGAGGCTACAGTCTTGGCCTGGGAGGCCCAGGGTCCCTGGCTCCCAAGCTAAGCTGCATCTACAGCATTGGCTCTTTTTAGGGTCTACGTCAGGACACATACACCACCACAAAATAACATATGTCCTTCACTGCTCTTGGGGAAAAGCCTTCTGATTGGCAAAGCAAAACTGCTGTTCAGACACATTTTTAATAGGTAAACTAGATGTAATTGGCTTGAAAGCAATCAGATGCTGACACTGGACAGGAGGGTGAAAACCCCATTGCTTATCACCATGGCTAACAATGCAGTGGAGAAAACCAGTAACTAAGCACAAAAATAGCCTGGAGCTCCCAGGGACAGCCACCTACTTCAAGTCAGGTGTGTCTAGTGGGTGGTCTCCGTTGATGGTGTGAGGTCAGGTCCAGGTCACTGAGGGAGATGGGAGACCTGAAACAGCCGGTGACCAGGGCAGCTGGCACGCACCAGAGTCCGGGGGCTGCCTCACTCCAGGTCGGCCTCCACCTGTTCCGTGTCAGAGCACTGCGACTTGTTACGTTCCCACTGGCAGATGGCATTGGCGTACTCCACCACCAGCTTATCCATCCATGTCAGGGGCTCGGGGAACAGCACGGACCCCTCAAAGAAGCCCAGGTGGCCCCCGTGCAGGGGCAGCACAAACATGACGTTCTCCCGTTTCTCTGCAGGAGAAAGGCAGCTGAGTGAGTCACTGTTCTCTGACCAGCTCCAGGGCAGGAGGTGCGAAAGTGAGCTGACCAGGGCAGCCCAGGCTTTCCCCACAGGCGAAGGGGTCACCTAAGTGGGCATCTGATTTCTACTCCCTCTGCCTCATTCACCAAAGCGGGAGGGAGATTTGGTGGGGCAGGCAACATGGTGGGATCTAGCAGGTTTTGGAATAGCAGCTTGGCTTTGGAGCAGAATGGGTACCGCCTTAGGAGATCCTTAAAACTCTAAGTGGTTCTCAAACTTGGCTGCATATTAGAATCACCTGGGGTTCTTTATGATCCCTATGTTGCATCCAAACCAATGAGATTCTGATTTGAGGGTGGGGGTGGGGTGGAGTTGGGGGGTGGTAGGTGAGAGAGGGAGGACCCAGGCACTGGTGTTGCTAAAACTCCCCAGCTGACTTGATTGTACAGCCAAATACCTCCCAACTTCGTGTATGCAAATCACCTGGGAGACTGCCTTAAAATGCAGATTCAGCTTTAATAGGCCTGGGGAAGGAGCTGAGATTCTGCATTTCTTTTTTTAAAAGATATTTATTTATTTATTTGGCTGCCCTGGGTCTTAGTTGCGGCATGTGGGATCTTTAGTTGTGGCACGCAGGCTCTTAGTTGCAGTGTGCAGGATCTAGTTCCCCGACCAGGGATGGAACCCGGGCCCCCTGCATTGGGAGCGTGGAGTCTTAACCACTTCGCCACTAGGGAAGTTCCCAGATTCTGTGTTTCTGACAAGCTCCCGGGCGATGCTGATGCTACTGGTGGGGACCAGGCTTTGAGGAGGGATTCATAACACTTAACACTTATTTACTAGAGAACCAGATGAATTCAATGGAGTCAATGATTTTTCATTACAGAACTTTATTTTTCAAGGCTAAAACATAAAGCTGCAAGTTGCGTTAAAAGACGGCCAAGCTCTCAATGGCACGTGCTAAACGGCCATTTGAGAATTATTAACCTGGAGCTTGACTTTATGAGTCCACGTTTAAGTTAGTCCCGCATGGGCTGGTAAAGCCATTACCGAAGATGTGTGCAAAATGGGCAGCCAGGTACAGTCAGGTACCACAGGGAGCATCTCTCTTCCCAGGGGGATAAGTGACAACGGGTCCCTTGCTGGCTGCTCCAGGCCTCTGAGGCGCTTCCTGGCACTCACATTTCTGGCTCTGCAAGGGCTTTTTTCTTGTCTGACCCCCTTTATTCTTCCCTTTCGGCTGCTATTTTGTAAGTTTCTGTGTGACAGCATTACTGCTATGGATGTTACTTTAGATATGCAGAAGGAAACCGGCATGGCTGCTTCCTCTCACTGCAGCCCACGTGGCTGCTTTTGTGTAGGGAGCCTGTGGTTCGATAGATGGTTGACACATAGCTTTTTATCACATAATGCACCTGCGACACACGCATTCACTCTGAGCAGAGAATGGAGCTCTGTCTGGGCGTGGGTCCTTTATCTGCTTGCTATGTTATCTACTCTTTAACTTGGGGTCATGAGAGAATCAGAAGTACCCCTTTCCCCCCTGGTTAACTTATGGTATTTACAAGAGGAAATGTAATCACAGAGGACTGGGAAGGGAGGAGATTAGGTACAATGCAAAGTAACTTTAGATTGTGACCCAAGTGTTTCCTTCCGTTACCCTCTTTCTAGTTTCTCCCGTAGCTCCTACCTAGCATGGTGTGAGGCCGTGCAAGCCTGAGGCAAGATAACATTCTCATGAACAACCTTCTTTGCTTTTTCAGTTGCTTATATTTTTATCCTCAAAGCAGATGGGGAGGCTGTCTGTCACAAGAGGTAGCAGAACTGGCTTTTTTGTTTTGCTTTTCAGGTCAAATTTTAAGTCTAAATATCTCTTTAAGTCAAACTCTCAGACTTAATGGACCCACATCCCTGAGGCCATAATTTCACAGAACACCAGGGGACTCCCCGAACCTCTTGGCTATGGATATAAATGATGATCTTGTCTCTTGCACCAGGACAGAACATGAAAAGGCTCTACCCAGGCTCCATCATAGCCCCAGAAGTAGCAGGCTAGAATAAATAAGAACACTGCCAAGAGATACCCTGATCGCCAGGATATGACAGCATGATGAAGGTGACATACTGTGGCAATTTGCTGAGCGGCTGAGGGAGCAGCAGCAAGAAACACTGACCTGAAAGAGATTTTGGAATGGTTAGAAGACTTTCATGCACCAAGGGGTCATCGGCTGCATTCACCAACATGAGAGGTACATGAATCTGAAACAAGAAAATAAAGCAGAATTAAATGATCAGTTCTCTTTTTTTAGACCCCGTTGATCCAAGGCTCAAATACACTACCAGATATGTCTTTGAAGCAAAGGGAAGAGGGTCAGTGCTCAGTTTCCTGAACATGTGGACTCGGGACACCTTGTATTTCCTGGTGGTGGCAGGAATGATAACTGCTGCTGTGATCCCAGCCCTGGCAGGCATGTGCAGGAGCCAAGCTCGGTGTCCTAGGTGACCCACGTGCTCTGATGGAGCACGGGTAAAGACTCTACAATACTCACTGGCAAAATATTTCTGATTGTCCGCACAGTGTCTCAGATTAGCCATGCCTTTCCAAAAAATGACTTTACAGAGTTATGTACATATTCATTCAATTTATATGGTGGGGAGGAAAAAAGGAGTGTGCTCCACTCCAGACAAAGGAGGCTTTCTAGAAGAATCTGAAGGTTGAAAACAGGAGCAGGCTGGTGGATATTGGGAAGCTCTTGGCAGCTTTGCATTCAACATCCATTTATCAAAACAGCCAGTAAGTGTCCTTTTTCATTTTAGCAGAGGTGGTGCTGATGGGGGTGCTCAGACATTACTGAACAGCCATGCCCAGGAATGTAATGACTGGTTGCCTCACCTGGAGGCCCCTGACACTGGCTCTGGACAGCTTCACGTTTCTGTAATGGCTTAAATGAAGACATGAAAAGCCTGGATGATGATGCTAAAGTAGGAGGGCTGGCCGATATGACACGAAGGCAGAACTGCCATTCACAATGGTATGCTTAAGCTGGGGGAGTGGTGGACCAAACAACAGGTGGACATTGATAGGGATAAGTGGGAAGTCCTGCGTTTGAGTAGAAAGAGCTATTGTTCAAAGACAGAAGGGGAGAGACTGATCTGGTGGTGGTTCAGGTAAAAAACATGGGGGTTATGATTGGCCACAAGCTTAATTTAATACAAAGTTTATTGTAGCTGCTCACACCTGCATTAATATAAACCAGTCTACTTCGACAAAAGACATGCTCCTCTATCATTCCGATACAGAAATGCATCTATTTTACTCTGTGCTTGCCAGATCATGGCAGGAATTTTGAGTTCAGTCCTAGGCACCACACCAACAAAATACACAATGACCAAAACAGGGTCTACGATTATAAGAAATCTATACGGACTTCCTGTGAGGAACCATGATAGGAACCAGGCAGGGTTATACAGGCAAAGGGAGACTAAGAAAAAAAATGGGTGCGGCAGCGATTTTAAGGGCTTTCACCGCACTAAGGGGCAGCTCTGGGATTATTATATGGAGGTCACAGAGGGGCAGAGTTTGGTTCAATAATAAACCCAAGTCAACAACTAGAGCAGTTGGAGCCAGATGCTGGGTGAGCTTCCACCAGGGAAGCTTAGGAGGGATGCTTGTTATATCACGGGTGGAGCTGGGTGGGGCGATACTAATTCTGAGATGCTGTTCCCTGAGTTGACGTGGTCACTCACCCTGTGCAGGTACCTCATGCAGCTTTCTTCCTCGTAATATTCCTTCAGGGAGTTATAGCCATGAAACTTCCTGGGACACACACACACACAAAGGAAAAAGACAAAACAACACTTGAAATAAGATTGGAATGCTGAATTGATTTTATTACTGTGCCAGTTCCCACACTAGCTCATCATATCAGTAGAATATACACAGGTACCAGAGTTAGGGGTTAAGAGCACCCAGCTTTGGCATCTGGCTTCAAATCCTGGCTCTGTCACTTACTGACTATGGACCTTAGGCAAAGGGTTTAACCTCTCTGAGCTCCTCTGTAAAATGGAGCTAGGGACAGGAGCTTCTTTAACGGTACTGTGAGATTTATGACATTAAAGTGACATTTTATTAGCACAGTGACTGGCCCAGAGTAATTACTCAGTGAGTGTTATCTGTAGTAATTATTGGCAGATGTTACATCTTTTTGAGGCAGCATAAAACCAGATGACACTAAGAAACTGCAATTCGAAGACATTTACTAGAACTTTGTTTTCAACAGAATTCTTCCTAGCAGAGTGATCTGGACCACTGTGAACTGGAATGAAATATGTACTGGATAATAGAAATGAGACAGGGATTCAAAGTTACCGACTCTGTCCTCCATGGAGCAGCAGTCAGACACACTGACATTAATAAACCCTTCGGTGCTCCAGCGGGCAGGTCCTGCAGCTTTGCCCTGCCCTGTGCTCTGAGAGGCCGGCATGATTCAGCCTGGAGCTCTGACACCAGGAGACAGAGTCAACCCCAGGTCAGAGGATCTTTGGAAACCTCATTTCTTTCTGACACAGATTAAGGCCTCTGGTTTGTGAGTAGTAGGGTTTTTTTGTCCTGACTGGGGTCTTCAGGGTATCTCGGCTCCCCTGTAGCTGTGGATCTCTTCCACTCCCAGGCTCCTTAGACATCTCTGCTGGCGAAGGACCCTCAGGTTGGACTATTTGGGCCAAACTTGACAGGGAGGAGGCCGAATGCAGAAATCATCTCTAGGACATTTGTCTCCATGAAATCAGCTCCTCTGAGGTCTCAGCAGGCCAGGAAGGCACTCTCGTCCTCCAGTATTACTGGTGGCGGGTTGATGAGGAGGCTGCCCAAACTGGTTATGATCATGAAAACTGCTACTATCTATAGCACTATTAAAAAGGAAGAAGTTTTTTTTTTTTTTTTTTTTTTTGTGTTTCCAAGCCCTCTCACTGTTGTGGCCTCTCCTGTTGCGGAGCACAGGCTCTGGATGCGCAGGCTCAGCGGCCATGGCTCACGGGCCCAGCTGCTCCG